CTACCCACTGGCCTGTGATTTTCTGCATTTGGCATCACTGCATGTGTTTCGTGAAGAGGACTTTATAGATTAATATCGGAAATATGGGCTAATATCGGACTTATGGACTTGATCTGGACTGGCTGGGATGCTTTCTCAATATTCAATTGCTCTTGTATATAAATCTCTTTCTTATACACATCTGTGTGTCCATGGATTTGTTTCTGTAGCCTACCCAGACTAACACCGGAAGCATATCTTAAAGTGAAAGAAATAAAAAGGAAACAAAAACTCAAGCCTCACATAGCAATATTGAAAGATGCTGCAGGCAAAATATTGACTGATGCAGGGATCATCCAAAGAAGGTGGAAAGAAGTCATAGATTCACTGCACTGAAAATAACGGATCATATTCCATCATCTCAGGAGGCGCATAGAAACAGGAATCAATGGTACCGAAGGAAGAATTTCCAGCTGCACTGAAAGCCGTAGCCAAAACCATGACTTTAGGAATTGATGGAATTCTCATTGAAGTGTTTCAGAAAGCTGAAGAAGTAGTGGAAGCACTTGCTCATCGGTGCCAGGAAATTTAGAGGACAGCTAGTTGGCCAACTGACTGAAAGAGATCCTTATTTGTACCCATTCCGAAGAAAGGGGCCCCAAAGAATGTTCAAACTATGGAACAGTATCACTACTGGCTCATCAGCAGTGAGCTATTTGGTCAAAGTACGGAACAGTGCGAGAAGCATCAGCACAAGTCGGATGGAAGGCATACTGTCACTGTACCAAAAAGAACAGCTAAATGGTCAGCCAACTCCAGAGGTAGCACATGAACAAGAACCAATGGTATTAGAGGAAAAGTCAGTGGTATTGAAGAAGTCCAAGCTGCACTGAGAGGATTAATGGGCAAACCCCCCCAAAAACCAAGGCTGCAAGAACTGAGGGGACAGCATTTCAAATATGTCAGTGAGCTGGTGAAGCACTCACTCATTTATACTGAGAAATGTGGAGACCAGCTACCTGGCCGACTGACTCTAAGAGATCATATTCCGAAGAAAGATGACCCAACAGAATGCAGGAATTACTGAACAGTACCCTTATGAAAGCGGAAACGGAGTGTTCAAGGCTGTATCTTTTTACTGCACTTAGTCAACCTGTGTGCTGAACAAAAAATCCAAGAAGCCAGACAGTATGAAGAATAATTCCATGTCAGGCTCGGAGGAAGGTTTACGAACACCCTGTGATATGCTAATAGTACAACTTTATTGGCTTAAAGCAAGAGCGACCTGCAGTTGAAAAAAACTGTCGCCTTCAGTGTGGATTGCAAGTCAGTGTGAAGAAAACAAAATTCTTCACAGCTGGACCCATAGACCATATCATGTAAGTGAAGAAAAGACGGAAGCTATCGAGGAATTCATTTATTTGGGTCAACACTCATGGAAGCAGCAGTCAAGAAATCAAACTCGGGCAAATGTGCTGCATACGGCCTCTGTCAAGTGTTTCAAGTGCAAAGATGCCACTTGGAGGACTAAGGTGCACAGGACTGAAGCTACGGCATTTCCCATGACTCCACGTGCATGTGGAAGCTGGAATTAATAAGGAAGACCATAGAAGAATGGATGCATTTGAAGTATGGTGCTGGTGACGAACACTGGAAGTGCCAGGGACTACCAGATGAACACACAAACCTATCGCCGAAGAAGTTCAGCCAGAGCGCTCTTAAGAGGCGAAGCAGGGCCAGACTTCCTCTCACCCACCTCGGACATGTTGCCAGAAGAGGCTCTAAGGTGACCAGATTTTAACATGGGGAAAGCGGGACACCATCGATCAAACTCCTATCCTGGTGAAAAGCCACATGGCAGCCGAAAACCGTATACCCTAGCTTGTCATGCATTCTTTCCAAAAATCGGGACTTTTTAAAAATGCTGAGGGACGTGGGAAAAATTGTTAAACATCGGGACTGTCCCGCCAAAAGCGGGACATCTGGTCACCTTTGGCTAACCCTTGGGAAAGAATGTCGCGCTTGCTAAACGGGATGGTCAGAAGTAAAAGAGAAAACTCTTATGAAGACAGATCGACAAAGTGGCTATCAACATAAAAATTATTGTGAGCTTGGAAAAAATGGTGGTGGTGGGGAGAGAGCAATGTGTCTCTGTTGTACCTAGTGTTGCAGTGATCTGAACACAACTCGACAAAATACAACATCACACACTGTACTTTTTAAAACCAGGATCTAAATGAAATCAAATAATATTTTCCCGAGAAATAAAACTGCATGATTATAACATGACTTAAAATGTCATGGTTTAGGACACAACTCTTATTATACAGATAAGCCAAGTCCTTTGCTATGGGGTCCAATCTGATTCAAAGCCCCGTGTAAGGACGGCCCCGAACTGCCCCATAGCGTTGACAAGGCTATAACCTTGATGGAAACAGATGGCCTCCTATTTCCCCTCAGAAAAGGTCTAACACGGTTGGGCAAATTACGAAACAATAAACCTGACCTCTTTCTAAACACAGGAACCAATGGCATCAAGGTCTGGGCTTCCATTTTCTCCTTCTGCCGGGAGAGTGTTTCTAAGTGGCTAAAATATTTTACACAGCAGGGGCTCTGGCACGCCATGTTAAATGTACTAAGCCTCCTTACAATCCTTCTCAAGATTTAAGTGAGGTTTAGAGCCACTTTCGCATCAGTCCAGACACTCCTCTGTGCTTGTGACACTTGTATCCATTGAATTGACAATCTCAGTAGAGACACCCCCACGGGTCTGAATCATCGTCCAGTGGACACTGTACAGCCAGGAGGAGCTCAGGTGCCCAGGCCCGTGATGGAGATTCTCTGAGCTTTAGAGTGCTGGGCATTCAGCTTTTAATCTGGCTGCTTTAATGACGAATGGTCAAAAAGGGGATTCAATGCCATTTCTAGTCCGGGGATTCATGCTTTCCACACCCTTCGGAGCACCTGTCAGGGAGCTCTGGCATTCAGCACCGAGCACTGAGGCCCAGGCTCGGGGATGCTCGTCCCCCAGGAATCATGTGACTGCAAGCATCCAAATTCAGAAAGGCCACATTCTGTGTGCATGCAGAACTGGCCCCAGGCAGGGAGGACGCATCCAGGGCTCAGTCCCTCCATCTCCTCTCGAGCCCACTCACAGCGGCCCTGTAGGGCAGGGCAGAACTGCCCTGTGAATTTCCGAGATGGTCACTGTTAACAGGGGTAGAAAGCACGGTTTTTCTCCCAGGTCTGCTTTTTCTTTAGTGAGGAAACTTAGTCCCAAAGCCCATGGCTGGTTGCCTAACAGTCCTATCCAACCTCATTCTCTTATGGCGGAATTAGTCCAGGACCCCAGAGCACTCACCATTCCTCACTGCGGCCTCCGGCAGTCTAGCGGAATGACAATGGTCTCTGAGCCAAGAAGAGATGGGTGTGCACACAGGGTACTGGGTCGTCCTTGCGATTCACGGATGTGGCAGACGGCCGGCCACCCTAGAGCCCCAGCTGCTTGGACTGGATTAGTTCTCCTGCACCCCGCTGGAGACCTGGAAGGGCAGGAGGATGGGGGAGACAGTGCTGAGTAACCAGAGTGAGCGGTGTGAGCTTCCCCCAGGGTGAGGACGGTGCTCCACCCTGAGGGCCCGTGCACGGAAGGCGGAGGGCGCTCCAGCCTCAGAGCACACCCTGCGCTCTTCCTGCGGCTCCAGGGCTTCTTTCTGGCAATGAGATGCTCTAAGGAGGAATTCGCTTCTGGACCCCCATCCTCCGGGGCACCCAAATCAATACGGGTCAGCCTTCTGGTCCGTTGCTTCAGCCTCCTACCCATGCCCTCCCTCCCTCAGAAACTGTCAGTCTCTTCCCGTTGGTGTCCAGCCATCGTCTTCGTTCAACTCACAGTACATTGAGATCACTATGTGATCGGCAGGAAGATGCCCCACGGCACGGACTGGCAGAATGGCTGCAATCAAGGGCTCACCCGTAGTTACAGATGCGAAAGCTGGCGAGACTAGCGATACGTCTTTCTGCTGTACACAGGGCCCCGAGGAAGTGGGACCAGGGAGAAGCTTCTCTGTCCGTCTGTAATTAACATGGTTCACTTCTCC